TCAGTGGACTTGAAACCATACATTTTTACAAGAGGTTTTGTATTCACATTATCTCTTCTCGTCACAAAACCGCTTGCAAAGGTGTATGGATCCAAAAATCTGAACTCACTGAACACATGGATGATATAGGACAATTAAAGTGCTTTTACAAAACACTTTTTCCTGCTAACGATGACTGGACATCAAAGCGTAAGATTGCGGAGCGTATAGAAATCAACAAAACAGCCAACATCGTGAATGGGCGGAAAGAGTGTGAGAAAGTAAGTAGGAACTAGTTGTGGTTGTTGGCTTGGCCTACGTAGAGAGAGTGAGAGAGGGTGAGCCGGACGAGTCTCTGAGCCCCGAGTCTAGCTGGAGCTATCACACCGCATGACATGAACATCGCATGCAAACAATGGACAATAACAGACACCCTAACATGAGTCAGCATTAGAGGATCTTCAGAAAACAGCTGGCACTGCATCCTCTTCCGGTTCATCAATTAACTTCACTCGTTTGCAAGCATGTCAAGTCAGTTTGAGGTCGCCAACCAAATCATGGCATGCTTCGTTAAAACCGCAAGAATTGATATGAAAAGGGAATAGGGTTGCAGTCGGCCACTTTGTCTTTTGGTTTGCTAATTTGGGGCTATGATGCTGCTTGCCCCGACTGGATTGACGGGATCTTGACACACATTGATCGGATTTGCTGAACGGTGAGCTGAGGACCAATTCATACTGTATAACATCGTTGGGGGGACCTACATTTCGTATGAAAGTGCATGAGGAAGAGATTCTTTTGGCTTGAGCATATATAAGAGGTAAGATAGAGCCAGATAGTCTTCTTGCCCTAGTGCTAACCTGGGACTTCTACAGGAATGAGATCCAGCTATGATGGTCCCAGGTTGCCATTGACTTTCACATTTAGCCTTGATCCCCTCTTCCAAGGCTATCTCATCCCGGCCTGACTCGATTGGGTCGAGCTGCATCGTCTCTCATCAATACTCCCAAAGGAATTCGATGGTTGGTTTTATTAAAAAAATAATGATAGTCTCGAAACCTACTTACACCGAAACTAAGTAATATGGTTGATTTCAATAACAAATACATTTCTGCTTCGTCGACACTTTTATCCCAGTCCAGTCTAGCCGGAATGATATAGCCTTCTGGGAGGCCTGGTTATATGATCGTGTGGGATAACTCGACTGCCCATCCTTGAATCACTTTTCAAGACCTCAACCCGAAGAGTTGGTCTCCAATAAGAAAATATTCGGCCAGAAACTGAAGTTGAAAGTATGATTTGTGAACGGTCTGACTTCTGCCCCGTGGTTCAGTGCGACCCGGTTTCAAGTGGCTTCGTGAGTACAGATGAGTTGGATCAAGGTGAGATCGGAGGGAGAGGAGCCTCCTGACGCTGGCCAACTCATTGTTTTCTTTTTCTTGACAAAAGTAAACTGCTGGTGCTCGATTCACCTCAGGCTGTGTAGGGGAGCTAATTTCCTATTCAATAACTACTCATAGCCTCGAAACATACTCGTTCTAAAGAGAAACGGAAAGTGTTCGACGGAGAGCTGAGCGTCTTCCAAGCGTCTGAGGCAAGGAAGAGGAAACTGGTCGCATCAACAACGTTTCAGGTTCAGGGGTAGCGGAAGATCTGAGGATGTAAACGATACATCACTCACTCTCTCTCTCCCTCTCTTTCAATGGGCGACTCCTAATGGTCCCCTATTGAAGGCTATACTTCAGAGGCGGGGCTCAAATTCTACCCCATTGCGCCTACTTACCTGCTCTACCTGCAACTGTTGGCTGCCGAGTAGTGCTGTCTGGCTGTTGGTGCAATACGACGAAGAAGAGCTGAGGTTGGTGGCAGTGATGGGAGATGGGCCGGTCGAGGCTGATTTGGAAAGTGAAACAGAGCCGGCCGATATTGTGGGCGAGGGTGAGTGGAATGAACGTGTGCGTACAGGCGTCCGGCTGCCGAAGTCCAGAGCGTCACCACTTTCGCGCCGATGCATCTCTGCATAATCTGCTCAAGCAGAGAGTGGAAGAGAGAAAGAGATACGGATAGATAGATAGTGAGTGAGTGAGTGAGAAAGAGTGCGAGGTGGAGCAGCTGGAAACAAAAAGACAAGAGACAAAAGCGAGGTTTTGTGGAGATTCAACAGTGCCAAAAGGGTTGTTATGGGGCTGGCGACTTCTTTTCCGGCCAGCAACAGTTGGGGTGGCCAGCCGACATGAGCCTGATTGGTGTCGAAGTATACAATTTGCAATTGGCTCTGCTAGTTGACGGGCCAGCAATAAGGTCATGATACATAAAAAAGACGGCCTAATTGCACCTTTGAATGTTACCTCACCAGACCTCTCGAAAAACCATTATCATCATTACAATCACGATCCCCATCAGCATCAAATTGGCACCCCCGGCGGGACTCAAAGTATGCACAGATGCGTCGAAAGACTCATTTTTGCTGCGTCTGGTAAAAATTTTTGGGCAACAAAAAGTCAGTAAAAATTTACATCATTTGATGGGAAATTTTATTGGGAATAAATCACGTGCCTGTCATTAAACTCGATACGCTTCCCTAAATTTTAGTTGGTTATTGATATATTCCGTAGCCATCAGGTACCTAAGTATTGCAGAAATGTATAAAAGAATTGTTATCAAATATAAAATCAGTAGATACGAAGAGAAACTGGGTTTCGATGAATCTCCTGAGATAACATTGTTAGAGGGACCTTCATTT